ATCTAAATTAACCATCTTAGTTATTAATTATGAAAGATAATACGAGGTGACTCTTAAATTTTCTTTTAAAGTACCCACATATATTATTATGAAATGTAGTATAAACTAACCATTTTAGGTGTCTTTTCAGTTCAAACATGAAAAGGTGTCTAGTCTACAAACCTCTAGCTCCCTCCGTTTTCTAAATACATGACATTTAGGACAAGATAAATAATAATTCAAAAAATAAATTAATTATGTTATTTCGAACGTCATATATTTAAAATGGAGGGAGTACTAGTTAAAATTGATTTAAGTCTAATATTTGAACCAAGATTAAGATGGAATCCGATGCGTAGTTGTAACTTCAGGTGTGGTGTGACGTTGGTTAAATATGGACGTTCCAATAATAGAGTCGATTTTAGAGGAAAAGGAGGATAACAAACAACTATTTTTGCTTGCTGATGCTTTCTACTAACAAAGGACTCACTTATTGCTTTATTGCTTGCTTTCCTTCTGCATTCTTAAGACAGTCTGCATGGGACTGGGCACAGTCTAGTCAGCTCACCCATTGAACTCACATGGGGGACATGATCGTTTCACAGTCCCTGGCTGCCATCTCCAACCAAACAGGTCAGACAGTTTCAAGCTGGGTCCATGCCAGCTCTTGATCGGACCCTGATTCCTGTCAGATTAAATGAAATCCAGATCCTTGCCCCCAATATGAGGACCCCGCAAAAGCCTTCTGGTCAAGTCACAAATCAACACCACCCCATGGCCATGGAAGTGAGCTTTTCCATGGCATACATTCAAATGGATTAGCTATTTGTTCCAAGAAATAACAAATGGATTGGGTTGTCACTGTCCAAGTTGCTGCTACGTGTTTCATGAGCTGCAGGAAACCAAATAGAACCATACACTGAACTTGAGCCATTTATGGCTTGACAGCCATTTGTCAGGAGCAATTTTTATGATAGGAATTGTTTGAGAGCTATACATGCATGGCCAGTGCTGTTGGATCGGTTGGTGCTCCACACTGTTGATATTCACCTGTGCCCTAGGTGTAGGGTTACACACCGGATTCTCTGAACCAAAATTTTGGTCAGGTTGCCTCCATCGTCAGGATCGTCTGGGGCCTTGTGTTTGCTGCCAGCTTGCCCCAGTTGTGGAAGTCAGGGTCACCAACTGGGCTGGCATCCGTTGAATTGTATATTAGGGATAGTTTCAGGATTAGACATGGATAAACTCTTTGATTCGCCATTTTCGTACGATCTCCGTCCTGGGTACAAAATTCCTTTGGTGATTTTGCATCCACGTGCAGGCATCGAAAATGTTACTACATCTCTGTGGTCTGTGGCCGCGCATGCTGTTTTTTAGCAAGCTGATGCATGTGGTTCGATTCTGAAGTAATGGTATTCTGCAATTTGCAGTGCTAGAATAGTGTTTGATACCAGCACAGGATTTCGCATGTGTGTGAGGGCATCAAATAAAAAAGTCTGGATTTGATCTGCTGCTAGCAGTACCACAACAAGTTGGCACAGGCTATATGAATCTCTCAACAGTTGGTTCAGTAGATTTTCAGATTGAAAATGCAGGCTAGCACAAAAAAAATCCGGGCATCAGGTGGAAATAGTTAAGTTTAATCATTCGGTCTGAAAGAAAAAGTAGTTTATTTGAGGGATTAAATAAGAGTAGTTAGTTAGTTAGCTCGAAGTTGCAAAGATTATGGAAATGCAAAGAGATTATCAGAGCCATGTGAGAAATGTGATGAACAAAGAAAACTACCTGTTAGCTGAATTATTTGAAAAATGAAATGAGGAATGTTTATCTTTTCATCTCGACTTGCAGATAAAAATCCCACATGTCGCAATCAGTCTCTACTGCCTGACATACTAGCTAGCTAGCTATCCTCTGTTTTGAAAACGTCATGAACAAGTTTTGAGACAAGAGTAAGTTAGGTACACGTATTGTCTATGAGAATATAATGTTATCATCTTGAGAACACTGATCCAGGTTTGAACAAGAAACAAAATGCCAAGAGCAAGAGGGCACTGAAAAAAAGGCTAGATAGCCATTCAGATATGCTTGAGCCAAAAATCCAGAGGAGACATCAGTACATCACCCCACCTGCTAGTTTTTAACAAAACAACAAGATGACATAAATTTACAATGTGCATAAACAATGGATCAACAGTGTCCTGGCCGGTCTCACCTTTTTTCAGGAAGAGTTAGGATCTTTGTCACATCACAAGCTAAGCAAGCTAGGCCTTGTTTAGTTGGCGAAGTTTTTTGGGAAATGGTACTGTAGCAATTTCGTTGTTATTTGGTAATTAATGTCCAATCATAGTCTAATTAGGCTTAAAAGATTCGTCTCGTGAATTTCGTCTAAACTGTGTAATTAGTTTTATTTTTTATTTATATTTAATGCTTCATGCATGCGTCCAAAGATTCGATGTGACGGGGAATCTTGAAAATTTTTACAAAATTTTGGAAACAAACAGGCACCTAGTCACACCAGAAACAAGCTTTGTGTGCTGTCATCCTGTGTAATGTTAAGAATCATGATAAACTTCACACTGAAACACTATACTGTACGCACTTATTAGTATTGTAGAACCAAGAACGATCGTCGTATAGAACTAAAAGACTGAGAGAAATGGAAAGTGACTCTGAAAGAAGTTGGCAGACAACAGTGGCTGGCCACCTTTTTCAGCCCTTGTCAAAGTTGTGGGTCAGTCAGATTAGGGGTTCATGTTGTCAAGAAGGAAGGAAGAGATGTTGAGTTTCCTTCTCGCGAATGCGATAAATCACTATCGGAGGAAGCTTAAAGGATCTTTCTCATTGTGTGATGATATGTGATTTGGAAAGGCCACGCAACAAGGTTGCAATGGATGGTGCCAATGGTGCCTGGAAAAGGGGAAGAAAAGGCTCAAAGGATCTACAGGAAAAAGGATGAGGTACAATTGGGCTTGTACATAGGCCGCAGGAGAAGATGTAAGAATGAACTATACAATTGGGCTTGTACATAGGCCGCAGGAGAAGATGTACCAAGTGGTCAATATCGCATTGGGCTCTGCTCCGCAGGAAAGGTCTCGTGGGCCACCTAGCGCGCAGTGTGCCTGAAAGATCAAAGTATTCGGCTATATTTGGTTCAACTTCTGAAGAATATTTCCGCTATAAAAAACAGAATGCCAGCTAACAGGTAGAATCTGACGTTCTTTCATCGGATCCTGCTTTTGGCTTTCTTTCTTTCAAAATTGGTGGAAATAAAGATATGTTTCACGGCTGTTTCGAGAGAGAGAGAAAGAGGGGGTAAGTTTAATACAGTAGTCTTTTTAACCAAACAACTTACAACAGCACATAATTTACCTATGTTGTCAGATCTTGCATCCACCAAATTGGGGATATCCTCGAGTAAGGTTAACGAAGACCATGGTGGCCACTTGAACGAGCTCAAGTATGGGGTGGGCCGGTGCCATATGTAATGGACGAGACAGACGCCCTCATTATTCCACTCAATATGACCAAATAGAAGAGTGAGTTAAGTAAGAGGCTAGGGAAAGAAGAGAGACGAGCAAGTTTTGGTATAATTCTGGCTTGTATCTATGTTGTCGGCTGTAGTTTTTGTTAAGCTAAAAATAAATAAGTTCGTTTGCATAATCATTTAACTTGCATGTGTTTTATCGCATTGAGTTGGATCTTGATTTTTAGTGGTCATATGTGTATTTCATGCGGACCGGCAAGATCCTGTATTTTGTGCCAGTAGAGTGCACGAGGTGTATCTCTAGTGATTACCAAGGTTAATTGATTTAAGCTGAGTTAAAATGACACTCGGTTTAGGTGAATCAACTTTTGTGGATTCTCACAAACAAGCACGAGATGGATGAGAGAGAAAGATGCGGTGGGAAGGAGGAATAATCGTTGCATGGATGCCAAAAGCCACCACTACCACTCCTCGCCTGTGGCGGCTGCTGTCGGGGGTGGGGGTGGGGGGCGGGGCGGTGGGGGGATTGGTAAGAGTTTTCTAGAATTCCTATACAAATAAACATAAACAAAAGTACTAACATAACGGTCTAGGCGCCTAGCAATGGAGAATGGAGCCCATGGAAGAATTCGTCAACACAATCATTAAGGATCCATTTGGAGGGATTCTGAGTGGCTCCGGTTCTGCAAATGTAGCGGAGTTGTTTGGAGCCCCCAAATGTGGTTTTCATGTCTGAGTTTTCAAGATTCAGATACGTTGAAAACATTGTAGACTAGTTTCATTTCCATAAAACTCATTTCACTCTATGAAACTTTGATCATCTTTCTTTATTAATATTATGTCATATCAACATATTTACTAAGTTGATAGCTTATTTAATGTCCATAGAATCCTCATGAAACTCTCTTTATTAATATTATGTCATAGTCATATCAACATATTTACTAAGGTCCTGTTTGGATCATCTCATCTAAACTTTAGAGCTCTAAAAACTTTAGAACATTTTAGCTCACTTTTGAGGGGTAAAGCTCTAATATGAGGTGGGATAAACTTTAGAGCTAACTTTAAACCACATGTTTGGAGTTTTAGCTCTAAAGTTTAGAGGAGAGACTCAAATAGGCCCTAAGTTGATAGCTTATTTAATGCCCATATAAAATCCTGATGAAACCCTGCTGAAACTGACCTTAAAGCCGTGAGGAGAGGATGACCCATTTCAAGAGACCACGAAGCTGTAAACCTGTTTAGGTTCCAAAACCCATATGTGGTGGGGAGCGGTAGTGAGGACCGATTAAGGATCCATTTGTATAGAACTTTTGCATGTTTACTTAATTGCACACTTTGTCACATGCAAAAGGCAAATACTGCTATAGTTCTATACAATCGATCAAATGATGCTTTACACGAATTCTCTCTGATTCCGCGATTCACAAAAACTGATAATTGCATTGCTTTGAAACTAATAACAGATCCTAGGAGTTCAAGTTGGTGCCGTCGGATGGGAACACCACAATTCGCACATAGCTGCGCTAGTTAAACCCTAAGAAAACCTCTGGACGTCGACGATGCAGCGCTGGTCCTCGCGCACAGACACTAAGAACAGCATCGCCTCGGCCTTCCCCTGCACGTCCACGAAGTGGCGCCTCGTGCACGTGGCCGCGTCGAAGAAGCTCTCGCTGCCCAGCACGCGCGCCGCCGCCGCGCCGCCCCGCGCCGCCTGGGCCACGTCGTTACCCTCCGTCACCGTGAACACCACGCCCTCGCACTTGACGACGCGGGCACCAGCGGCGGCCTGCGTCGTCTCGCGCGACGCCGGCAAGAGCTCGCTGTTGTCGGTGGAGGAGGAGGCGGCCATCACGTCCATCTTGCGGTCGATCGCCGGACACTGCACCTTGGCTTGTTGATGCATGGATGTGGCTGGAGATCTGTTGGGTGCCTGCCTCTGTAGATCCGCACGATGTGTGGGTTCGTATCCTACTCGAGTTGGTCTGCCAGGCTGAGTCCGAGTCCTCAGCTACCTTGTAGTCTACTATGAGGACACCTAGGCACGGCCAAGCTCTGTCTTTCTGTTAACAGTTCTGCACTGAATTTGATGCTCCTCTTGGACAAAGAGAAAACCATTATATACCCTAATAAATTTCAGAAACGCCCTGAATTTCCTTGCAAGATCCACTCTGTCGCCATGGCCCCTCGGCCCACCTGATGAGAATAAAAAGATGAAAACAACACAGCCCACGTCCTCGGAGATTCTGTAAACTGTAAAGGATTCTGTATAAGTTTCAGCCCACTCAGCATGATAGCAATGGCTTTGCTGCTTGTTGTCCCTAAAAAGACAAAGCACTTTGCATGGATTGTGTTCCTGTGAACATCTTTTGTGATGGGCCGAGCAATGTCCATGTTTTTCAAGGCTGCATTTGTTTCTGAAGTTCTGTTTCGTCGGCTTCCAATGGGCCAAGAGACTTCTGCATATATATATATATATATATATATATATATATATTTGTGCTAATAATAGCTAAACAACCATGCATGGAACTCGCTCATTTGCAACTGTAGTACGTGTATAGGACAGCAACTGGAATAAAGGCTCTCTAATCTGACGATTGAGGGCTTGCTCTGCTCGCGCTGCCCTTTCCGGGCGGTTCCCTCCAAGAAAATCGAAATAGACTTGGTACCAACCTCAGTTCAGTCTTGAGTGCCCTAAAAGCGATGACGTGCTCTGGCGAGCAACCTAAATTTGACGTGTGATTGCGTGCATTGCTCCACCAAATTAAAGCTTCACCTTCAATGCTATGCCAAACCGCACCATTGTTACAATTTCTTGCAAGATTAGCTGCTGTGGTCTTTGATCCCAATCCTGCACGCAAGGGCAAGGGAGAGCGATGGTTATCTGGATTGGCCGGTGGCGGCATGCTGGCTCCCATGATGGAAGCCTACCACAGGAACTCCAAAAGTTTCGGGATTTGGTAGAGCCTAAACATGATTCTGTTTTTTGTGGTGAAGATGATCGTCCTCACAGATTGGGCGGTGCGTGCAGGGGTATTGAGGTTCTTTATGACTATCTAGTAACCAACTTATGCCTTAATTAGATGCCTTTTTGTCTATCTCAATTTACATGTATTGGATATGGATTGGGGTGGAATATTAACTAATTTCTACCTCGATTCACTCGAGTAGATACGAATTAGGTCAGTCTCAGTTGGGGTTTCACGTAACTCTTTCCAGACTGCAAACATGTTTTATCCCATGAAATCCATTTCATCTTATAAAACTTTTATCTTATTTCTCTTTATTAATACTATGCCACATCAGCTTATTTAATGCACATAAAACTCTCATAAAACACTATTGAGACTGCCCTTAGGAGTATTTGGAATCGGGGAAGAGTCCTGATCCCCCTTGTACAAGTTGTGCAAAATGAGGAACATGGCATCAACACATAATTGCCTTTGCATCGGATAAATAATTCATTCCAAGAAGCTAAACAGGAACGAAAACAAGGCAGTTGTTATTAAATATGAAAAATGTAGAACCTACTCCAGAAAATATTAATTAGATAGTACTAAAAATTGCAGTACATCATAAATAGCAACCCCCGTTCTTTACTGATAAATTAAACAACTACTTAAAATTTGGAACCGCAAGTACATTTTAGGGCCTGTTTGGATTCACAAAGATTACGGAAGCCGGCTTATAGAGTCTTGGGAGGGATACAAACAGACATAGCTTAAGCTTTTAGAATCCGGAGGCCTCAGATTCCACAATCTGGTAAGTTGAGGGATCGAACCTAGCTTCTTCCAACTTCTAGTCACCAAAAGACTATTATGCTCCTCTCTCTTTTTATTTCATAGCTACTCCCTCCATCCCAAATTATAAGGAGCCAATTCCCTCAGCGCCACTGGAAATTTTGCCACTTCTGTGTGTGCCACTGAAATTGCTAAATTTCCTTACTAGCCATTGTAAAATAATTCTATCCCTTGTATGCCACTTTTGACGGATTGCTGTTAACTTGAAGTCAGGTTTCCCCTAAAAAGATAGATTTGCGAGGAATGAAGTGAAATTTTGCTCTTCTCCTTAGTTGACATCGATGGTTCATATTACATCAACATGACAGCAACATAAGTCAAGCAAAATGAGAGTTGTAATGTCTTGTAATATATAAGCAAAATGACCAGCAAAATAGGAGTTTACAAATTAATGTCATCAACAAATAATATTTCATCAGACATGCCACATAACATTATGAGTTCCAAGTTTCTCATCACACAGACCACATGAACATCAGTTTTTGATGACATTACATCAACCTAATATCACCACAGATACCTAGCAAAATATGAGCAGCCACATAGATGGCATGAGTACCAAGTTTCTCATGACAGGCCACATGAATGTCAGTTTTTGATGTCATACTAGGAACCTAATCTCATCACAGACATAGCAAAATAAGTGATCAATATAGGTATTCATTCTAGGATTTTTCTTTTGCTCCTAGTAGACATAGCAGGGCTTTCAGGAGTCTTGCTTCTAGTGCACATTGCAGGACTATGTGCTGCCACCAAAGGTTTCTTCTTATTTGCTTGCATTCCCTTTGTCTTCTTTGTCTTTGCTTTCCCTTCTGCCTTGCCTTCTCTCTTTCTCTTGCCTTTAGGTTGGGAGGGGGCAGGTGGTGGTGTTTCACAAGAACTTGGCAAAGGATACTCAATGGATAATTGTTCTGGTTGATTTGACCCACATGCTGACCTATACATGCAAATTATTACTTTGAGCTGAGAAGAAAAGGTACTATACATTTGCAAATGGTACTTGATGCATTGAATTTCAACTTACTTATTACTTTTTCCAGAGCTCAAGGTAGTAGAGCAGCCTTAGCTGCATTAAAAACAGATTGATTTCAACTCAGGAACAGAAAAAAACTGAATCTAGGTTTTAGAAATAAAACATTTCAGAATTGATTTCAACTCACCTAGGTGGAAAATACATTTGTGTTGGTCTAGAGGAAGTAGATGCACCAGGAACAATGCTATTCTCAATTGTTTCTTGTGCAAAATCATTTTTTTTCTTCTTCTTGCGAGGGCCCCTGCATAACATTACAAGTTATTAGTACAACAATGTATTAGTATAAGTTATTAGTTTGCATTAGTGCAAGATAGGATACATTACCTCTCAGCTAATAGGGCTGCAATATCATTTGGGTTACCATTTTTGCATGTGCGCCAATGGTGTCCATATTGTTGGCACACTTCACACCTATGCTGCCCCTTCCTGTGTGTTGTGCTGCCATTGTTCTCTGTACACCCTTTGAACCTCTTGTTCTTCCTTCTACCAGCTATGGGCTTCAAAAGTGGAGGATACATGAAGAAGCCATGGGCTGATTGTGGCCATTGGGACTTGTCAGTAAGGGCAGGGATAAGGTTCTCATATGCACCTCTAAATTTTTGAACTGAATAGTATGGGTCAACATACATCTCCAAAGGATGTCCTAATGAAGTGATAAATGCAATAGCATGCACGCAAGGAATGCCAGAGACGTCAAATTTTCTACATGAACAAGTTTTTTGTTCAAGGTTCACCACACACTTGAAGCCATTGCTTCCCTTCACACACACTTCTGCAACTTTATTTGAGCATGAATCTACATCCATGTCCAAATTGAAGCTTTGTTCCTTCAACTTTTTAATTATATGTGGCAAAACAACTCCTCCAATTTTTGTTGACACTGTCCTCCTTGTGTGCCACTTTTTCATGAGAAGTTGTCTGATCTTGTCTAGGAAGTCATCCACGTTCATGGCCTTGAAGGGCTTTACCCAGTTATTGAAACTCTCAACTAGATTATTTGTGACATAATCCACCTTGCAATGGGTTAAGAATTGACTTCTTGTCCAAATCTTTTTATGGTGCTCCCTTATGTAATTCATTGCCTCTGTATTAGCTTCATCCATTGCTTTCCAATGCATATCAAAAAAATATGAAGACCATGAATAAGCTGCTGCCTAAAGATGGTCATCAAACACTTTGCCTCGGTACCTTTTCTTGAAGTTGGACACCAAATGGAACATGCATTCACGATGCTCAGCTCTTGGGAACACTTGCTGCACTCCAGCCATCACAGCTTGTCCAGCATCAGTACAAATAGCCAGCCCACTAGGTACTCCTATGACATCTCTAAGTTTTTCTAGAAACCATATCCAATTTTCATTTGTCTTAGAGTCAAATATTCCAATAGCAACTGGATACATCCAGTTGTGTCCATCCACAGCACATGCACATGCTAGCTGGCCCTTGTACTTTCCAGTAAAAAAAGTACTATCTATTGCTAAATATGGCCTGCAGCCCCTAAGAAAACCATCTCTGCATGGTTTCAAGGCAAAAAAAGTCTATTGAACCTAATATTGTCCTGGATTGTGTGATGATCAATTACTACAGCACTACCAGGGCATGACCTTTCAATCTTTGCCTTAAATTTAAATAAGTTATCAAAACTACTGTCCCAGTCACCAAAAAGTTGATCATGTGCTAGATCGTTACCATCATATAATCTCCTGTACGGTACCTCAACCTTGTACTTTGTCTTTATCTTAGCCCATAATTCCTTTGCCCCCTGTGTTGGATCTTCAGTGAGCCAGTCCTTCACAACATCACACACCCAGAATTTGGTTGCATGTTTCGCTACCTTACTTCTTCTTGCACTGGTACAACTATGTCCATGAGGGTTTTTTTACCTGGCATGAAACCAAAATAAGTACGAGTTAATAGTATAAACAAAACAATGTGAAAACAAGCTTACAAAATCATAGAGCTACCTTTATTGAAACTTTGTCATCCATTGTAGAAGCATGCAACCTCCACCTACATCCATCTTGT